TCGAGAGAATGGAGCGGTGGTATTTTGATTTTCGATCGACTTTCGTCGCCCGGAAGATTCCCCGAGATATAACGCCGCTCTGCCGTGTTGCATGAAAACAGAAAGCTTAGCGCGAAATATATCGGGTAGCGATATATCTCGAGCGCGCGCGCTCTGCGCAGTTTTTCCGTCGCTTTTAATCCCGCGTACCAGCGATGTGCTATTATTGCCTACAATTCAAGCACACGTTGACATCCGGCAGTCGATTATTTTCCCCGCGGTGAAACATTCGTGCCGCGCTAACCGTAACCAGCGCGGCGGGGCCCTCTCTCTTTCTCGCGTTCGTTAAACACCGTCCGAATTTATGCTTTATGCGATCTGACAGTGTAACGAGCGTGAGCGAAACTTTATCGGATTACAATCAGAATACCTCCTGCGGCTCCGTTGCTTTCGATTCGATTAAAATCGCCCGCGGCTCCTATTATCAAGACTGGTTCGTCTTTTTTTTTTCTCTTATTTTTTTAATTCTTTTTTTTTTCGCGGAAGTCGTAACTTGAAAGCAGAAGCACTTTCGTTCGGGGGAGGAGGGGAGGGGGCGGTAACAATTTTGCATTACGCCGAATTGTAAAATTTAATAAATTGTTTGAGGCGATTTTCCCTTTTCAATTTTAAATTTTCCCTTTCAAAGGCAGTTAATTCGATTACGGAGATGTAATTAATATCAAGAGTTTCCTGCCGAGAATATTGTTTATTAGGCGTCGTATTTAAAAATTTACGAAATTCCGCGCGACTCGTGCGTATAATTATTTAGGGTAGCGCCATCCCCTCACATTCGATAATCAATCTGTGATTCGAAATCTCCCCGAGGCTATTGAGAACGTTTGATAAATTCTCCGTCCGACTGAGTGTGTACTTGAGATCATTTCCGCATTAACGTGCAAACGTGTCAAGTTGATACTTCGGCGCGGTTCTCGTGATATATGGCGGTGATTGCGCGGTGAGGAATGGCGTGCTGAAATTCCAACGAAGTTTCGTTAACGATGCGCCACGATGGGGAGTCCGACGCGCAAAGAGCGCAAAGTCATTCGAACAATCTCCCTTTACTATTATCCTTTACATCCTCCAGCTCCCGCGCGTTTTCGAGAGATGTGATTTCACATTTTACAACTCATGCGGCTGAATTATCATCTTGTGAACGCATTACCTAACAAAATAACAAGTGCTGCATCGTTGCCTCGCTAAAAAAAAAATGATCTTGCAGTCGTAGCGAAAATTGGATCTGGATACGAGAAATTAGCTAAAATGGATAAATGTCTAGCGAGCATTTCAATCGTATATATTTTATATCTAATCGATATAGATGACAGAATTTATATTTGAACAATTTGTCAACTTAGCAAAAAGGTTTCTCTATGATGTTCAGTTAGATAACAGTCACTCACACCTTGTATAAAAGTGTGATTTGTGGTTATGGGATCTATATTTTCTTGCATATAGATCATATTAGATGTTGCTGTCATAAATCTTACGTACAATAGACAATTTTAGCAGATATAAAAAATAGCGATACATTTTAACTATAACATTTAGATTTCTAGCTGGACCAGCGAAGCTTTTTTTGAGTGCCACTACATACGAATTTTACAATACTTGCTTAATTCAACGAAGCGAACATGAAAGATAAAATAAGATCGATAAAATAACGTTGTCGCGTAATAAAGATTAAGTGAGAAATAAAATGTCATAAAAATTCTCTCGAGAGTATTTTCCTTGCAAATAAAAATTTAAGCTTTTATGTTCATTTCTTATATTTCTACTTTTACACAACACACATACACAATTTATATTCATATATGTGTCTCGAGCAATGTGTAAGCGAGTCACGCAACGGTCGGCCGCACGCGTAACGAGGTAAAGAAAGGGAACGTTTAATTAAAAAATTCCAGGAACAAATTGATTCGTTTCACTACGGTATATTCTCGTAGTTAGACAGAACTATTCAATGCTGCCATCTTTCTAACAACGTCGATCGTGAATAGTCGTTTTTTTTAAACTTTTTGCTAAAAACTGTCATATTGCTAAATTACGTGCCAGCGTGCAATTTGGGAAGTGCAGTGCTTGAGGTACAATAGGATCTGGAATGTTCCATATGAACTTTTTCAGTTCTGATAAACTCGCAAAGAGATACGATGTACACCAATATTGCACGCCTGATAAACGATATGTACATTTCATCATTATGAAATAAGCGAGAGGAGGAAAAAAATGTAGATTTAACCTTCGATTGTTCAATTCCTCTCGACCTTTTCTCGTTGTTACAGTGCGGGAGATCTGCCGTGCGAGATCGAAACGAGCTGCGAAAACTTGGAAAAGAGCGAAGAATAGCAAAGTTAGTGGCGCGGTATTGATGAAACCGCGCGTAAAGAAGCGGACCTGTTTTGCTCGCCGATGCGAGTTCGCATTCGTGAGTGCATATGCGCGGTTCACGAATGGGAATTGTGCAAGGACCTCGACATAAATCGCTTAAATCTACTAACTCACAAAGAGAGTAAATTCGACGCGCGTTCTCGGCGGGCGCTCAAGATAAATGAAATTCATAAGACGGGGGTGGTATCCTTGAGACGGGACTTTCCCGTGCCGGGGGTGCGGGATAGTTTTGCGCAAGACGAAGCGAGAGAGAAACCCCGATGGGGTTAGCGTGGGGGTCAGGGGGGCTCGTGCAACAAGTGACGTTATTAGGTTGGCGCTGGAGGGTTGCAAGGGAGAGAACGGAGCGAATCATAATGCATAACTCTTGCCCCGTCCTTGTCTTACCGCGCGCGCACGGCCATTCAACTTCTGCGGAATTGCTCGTGCCAGCTTAAACTGAATCACCCCCCGAAGACCGAAAATTAGCGGATTCAATGAACCACAATGTGACGCTGTAATTTTTTATAATACTCAACGCTCAGACACTACGATAAAATTTTAGTTTTTATGAATAACAAAATTGATATTAAAAGTTTAGTCGATGCGGGATATAACTGGAAACACATACGTGATTCAACTTTTAAACGTCCAATGTTATCGAAAGTTGAAAGCCTTCTCGTTCAATTAAATTGCAAAAATTCCCTTTGTGGAAATCCGATCGGGGTATTTTGGTCTATCAGAAATTGAATGGGGGAGACAAATGGCGGACTCCCCCGAGGATTTTCGATAAGAAGACCAACAATTCCCACATATCGCCCGCCTTAATCTTTCCGATAAGCTCGGGTTATGATAGCCACGGTGAACTTCAAAAGCTCGTTTGTGCTCAGATCGGTGCCAAGTTACGGTCGAGCTCATTCGTCCTTGTCGTCCGATACGGTAATCGGCCGGTTCGAAGACGTGCCCCGTCCTAGAAAACTAAATTTCCATTCCGTTTCCCGACAGCGGTGGCGAACCGCGAAAAGAGACCACGTCGCCGTAACGGGGAAGACAAAGAGGCTTTATTATACGAAGGAGAACGATGGAAATTGAGAACGGCGAGGGCGGAGATTGGCAAGGATGCCGGGTGTTCCCCTTGGCGTCAAACGGCAAAGACGACTACCTTATATCCGCAGAACTCGGATTATTACCGCTCAAGTCGGTTATCCCGCAGCTTTCCTTTCTTTTTCATTATAAAGGTTGAAATGCATTACCCGCTAATCGCGCGTCGTCATTCGATCCTCTACCTCACGTTATTGTGAACGCAATATAAATTTACTTCGATCACGGCTTATAAGTCGCTCTTTTATTTTAGGAAAAAGACAAAAAAATCGATTGAAGTGAAATTAGAATTAGTATTTGATCTTTAAGAGTTCTCTATTATCTTCGGATTTCATTTCTCTCGTGACTTTCAGGATCCATTTTTAGCAGCGATAGCGATTGAAGTATGATCCATCCAAGAAGACAGCAATGAAAGTATAGGTATAAAATCTCTAAGCCGATACATCCAATGCTAAGCATCATAAAAATTCAATCTAACCTGAGCGTATAAAGGAAGCTTTTTAGCGTTGAAAGGAGCCTTAAAGCATGATCGAGGAGTATTCTACACATGTAACACGCGGACGCAGGAGCGAGAATAGAAACAGGAGCGACGGAAAAAAAGGGAGGGGGAAGGGGGAAAGGAGGAAAAAGAAAAACCGAATGGACGACAGGGACCGCCGTCGTGTCGTCAAGCCGGTCGTCCTTTTTCCGCCTCGCGACCCCCTCTGTCTCTCGGCAGTTGATTTCCGTCTTTCCCATTTTCCTCTTTCGCTCCGTATCTTCCGGACGCCCTGCTCGTCTCCACCCCCATCTTCATCCCGAGTCCGCCATTTTTGTTTGTATTTCGTGGTGATCGTGGACCGGAAACGGATGTCCGCGCCGTGAAAAATGGCCGCCGTTGCGCTTCCGGTACGGGAACGCATTCTCCTCTCCCCTCCCCCCCCCCTCTCCTTCCCTCCGCTCGAATCACCCCTCGTGGCTCTCTGTCCTGAATTCTACTACCGACGCCCTCGTCCCAGGCGAAACGCGTTTTATCCGACCGATCCCCGTCGGTGTGTTCTACCGTTTCTGCTCTTTACCACTGTCCTATCCGACTTTGGCCATCGACCTGCACCCGAACCGTGACCATTTGACGCAACGCGCTACATGTGTTCCTGACGTCGTGCAAACCAAGCGTTTTATCATAGTTCCGTGAGCCGTCCCAGTCACAGTGTGATTGTAGTAATTGTCTCTCGACACTTCCGCGAGCTCTGCTATTATCGCTGCGCTGAGAGAATTCCAATATACCGTGATCATCGTTATACAACTTGAATGAATAATAAAGCAATTGTAATGCATTGTAATCACGAAAGTAGAATCACATCTATTTCGGGAATATACGTAGATAATAATTAGCGAATTAGAAACTCGCGTTTATTTAATTTAATTCTCCCCCTTAATTCTGCACCGTTCAAATTATTTTTATCGATCGATCGATCGACAGAGATTTCGAGTCGAGAGCTCATGTCTTCTAATCTCATTGCGTTTCAGGAAAGTCTCAAGAATGTGTTGAGCTGATTCTGTCCGGATATATCAGGATTTTGGGAATGGATTCGACATTATTGCTGCTTCTACTGACCGGTAAGTTTATAAAATACTATGCTCCTCGAGTAATTTGAAAGTAATTTGAAAGAAGCATCGACGTTCTTTGGTATTCCTCGTCGTTGACTGTTGGGATCGTTAACGTAGACTTTAGAATTTTAGATGAACTTTCCCATGCAGAGACTATATCTAAAAGTCCCGACAGAACTTTGGCACCAAGTCCCACTTATTATAAACTTCGGTCCGGCAACACTCTCCTTTTGCAACAATGAATTATATCGCAATGTCGAGGGAATAAAACAACCCACAAATTGCTACTAGGAATTTCTCTCTCGGCCTTATTTTACAGTTAATAAAACTGTTTCATATTTATATAAAAGAAGTAGAATTGTTTATAAATACGAAAAAAAGTTTCGTTCATTCGTCCGTTCGTTCAGTAACCATATCATGAATTGTTCAACGAATTGTTCAATTGTGACAAAATTGTTTTTGCTGTATCGCTTTGCGGTATGAAGAGAGGTACCTTTGTGTCATATCGCGTGAGAACTGAAAGCTTTGTATTATCTATCAAAACCTAAACGAAGTTTTCAGGAGATACAATATCGATACGGCCGGTAGATCGGTGACACGAGAACTAACGACATCACGTCGTCTTTGAATGAGTCTCTGAATGGGGTGCGCGAATTGAACCGCCGCGTATTTCCACCAATATTCCACTCTCCAAGCACGCGGGAGGTGTGTAGAGGACAGAATAAAATTCACAGTCTCCACCGAAGCGAGAAACGTTTGGGGAAAGTGACTTCGATTTGACGCTCCGTAAACTTGCAGAATAACCCGGCTCTTGCCTGAGGCCAACCATGGAGAGAAAGACGAAAAACGCACCCGTTCGCGGCGGGCATCTACATGCGCGCACCACCCGTGGTCCACGGTCGATGACCACGTGGAAGGTAGGAGCGAATGCTGAGCGAGGACGAATACGAGAGCGGGAGCGGGAAAAACAGAGTGGAGGAAAAAAGAAAGGAATACGTTTGGTTTGGCAGTGGGCGGTGGGCGTCGAACTCGGGACATCGCGCGCGGATGACGAGTAATCGATCACGAGCACTCTGCCAACACTACGTGGCGAAGAGCACGGTGGTTCTCATTCGACACGAAGTGGAGAAATTTATCCCCTCGATATAAAACGTCAATTTGCCATTTTCGTAAAGTGTAAAGTGCGTGCGAGGGCCGCGAGGGGTGTTGGCGCGATGTGGGAATCGCGCGAAATGGGAAGAGGAATCAGGGCGATTAGCTCGGACATCACGGGAGATACGTGTCGGAGATCCCTGGGGTGACTCGCTCGCGGAGTACAAATACGTCTTTTCTCGTTGATAATAAGAGACGACTCTCGACACGTCGAGAATTAGTTTCGATGAAATTCGATACCTGTCGGTCGAGCGTCGAGAGAGAGCTCGTCGGAGAAGAGCCGGCCGTCGGAAGCTGTCGCGTAAATCCCCGAGCATAGCTGAGAGCCATGCGCCGGAGATATTTGCGGACGAGTTCGTAATGCTTTCGCGAAAAATACAGAAACCCCCGGCTGGCAACCCGTCCCCCCTCGAACCCAGTTACCCCGGCCGTCCCTGTATCGATTTCTGTCCGATGGAGTATCGCGATACTCGCCCTCTCACCACCTCTCGCGCTCCTCTCCATCCCCGATCGCCTCTCTTTGTGACTCGTCCTCTTCGTCTCCCTCCCCCCTCCTCCCACTCGTCCTCCCATCAGCCCCTGACTGAATCCCTCTTTCGCGTCCGCGTGTCCCTGCATCGCGATTTTCAATACCGTGCCCGCACGTGAAGCAAGGGTAGACATCCGCGAGATCATTACTTTGAGATCGAATGTTCTCCTTCCCTCCCGACCGTACACTTACGCAATTTAACATTGGTTCCTCTTAATCTCAGAATGCTCGATCTTAAACCCAAAATTTATAACAATAAGAAAAAAGGAAATAATTATAGAACATTTGTTACAGGTAGCGTAATAAAATAGATTGAATTCTGTCAACTTGTAAAAATACTTAACACAGAATTTTTGTTTAAAAAATAAAATACGAGAGAAAGAAAGAGAGAGAGAGAGAGAGAGAGAGAGAGAGAGAGAGAGAGAGAGT